GATACTATTCATGTTCCTGACAGGACTTTCGATTCTGGTCAGCACCTTTTTGTCCCCAGGTGAGAAATGAGTTGGGGAAAAGTAAGTAATGTCTCCTATCTTCCAGAAATTTCTTTGGTTTACTCATCTGGGCCAAAAGAATGGCATCACCATGGATAACCGGAGGATCCCATGAAGTTAATGTGAAGGCTTAGAAGCTGTCCCTACAGCAGTTGTTGGCAAAACTTAGGCTCTTACTGAGCCAAAGTTCTTAAGGTGCCAAAGTTCTTAAGGACCCGAGGCTGTCCTTATCAAATCTATGATAAATCTGAACATCAGAGCCACTGATACCTAACAATTTCTTTAGAACTAATTGCATGCATTGTGTTATCAAAGAGGAAGACACACAATCCTCTTCCTGGAATTATTTTTTCCAATTTATCAAGTCTTTCTATCTTGGTCATTCTCTCCTTTGTTAAACTCTAAAGGCAACAGTTTTAAAAAAGAGGCTCATTGATTTGAATGAAGGGTTTTGTTGTTGTTGATTTGGGGGTTGGGGGCAGGGGGTCAGTCATGGAGCTTGAACTCAGGGCCTGGTTGCTGTCTCTAAACTCTTTGGCTTGACTACCACTCTGCCACTTTGAGCCATAGCATCACTTACAGTGTTGTAGTGGTTAATCAGTGATAAGGGTCTAATGGATTTTCCTGCCCAGGCTGGCTTTGAACTGCCATCCTCAGATCTCAGCCTTCTAAATAGCTAGAATTTCAGGCATGTACCAGGAACACTAGGCCACTGGAATAAGAGTTAGAAAAACAAAAAATGAACAACAAAAACAAAATCCCTTGCCTTCAGGTAGAGAGAAAGAATACAATAGGAAAAAGACAAGACACTAACCTAAGTATGGTATTTAATTTTTTTATTATTAAAGAGATATAAGAGGGGTTATGATTGTGTAAGTCAGGTAAGAGTACATTTGTTTTTGTCACCCCTTGAGTCGGTATAATCCAGTTTTTGTTTTATAATATATTCCTAAATAGCAAATAAATGATGAAACTCACCCAGCACAATATACTATATTAATTGCATGACTTTAAGTGATGATTATGGGGACTACATTGGTCCCCTCCATCATGTTCTCACGGCAGGAATGTATTTGAAGAAGCTAGAACTGTATACTTCTTCTATATCCTGCTGCCAGCCGGCTCTCCTCTGAAAGTTCCTTAGTTTTTAATCATATCTTTGACTACTTTTACTAGGTTTCAAAACTTTTTCCATTTTCTGTGTCAGTGATTCCCAACACAGCACTAGCTTTCTCATAAGAGTCCTAATGTTAAGATTTTAAAATCCTGGCTTGTTATCTAGATCCTGCTTTCTTCACAAAGTTCACTCCCAACGGAATCCAGTTCTCTTGTTAGTACATCTGTTGGAATACCTGTCCTATGTCAAGAAATAATCTCCTGTTCTTAGTTCTAAACTGTTGAAGGCATGAGTCATTAACTCCTTGGATTTTTATCCATGTATTCCTACCACATCCTGAACAACAACCACAGCAACAACAACGAAAAGAGCATTTCCTGACTTTCCCTGCCTCTGCCATGTCTGATAAAACTCAAATGGGCAGGGAGAGTTGCAGCAAATATTTTCCATTCCTTCATTCAGTGCTTAAGCCCAAACGTACTAGAGTCTGCTTTCACCAGCTCATCATTACATAGTTTCTCCTAGGTTCTGTTTGTATATCACATGTTTCTTGCTAGCAAATCCCTCCAATAGAACTTCTCATAATTGTTTGGGGTAGACAGATTTCTCCAGTCAAGTATGCCTGCCTCTGATGTGTCTTCCTCTCTACAGAAACTCAGCAGACCCTGCGCATGGTTTTAGCAACCCTGGGAATTGGTGCTGATACCTCTGGCTTCACAGCCTATTCAATTCACTCGATGGAGCTCATCCCAACTGTAGTGAGGTACTGTCTCTCAAGTTTAAGATATCCTGGGCTCCATAACACTTAAAAATTACAAAATAAAACCTAATCTGCTTCTAGAGAAGATTTTCTGAACTAATGACATTTATTGTGGGGACAAACTTAAAACTTCTCAACTTTCAAACAAATAATAAAACATTAAAATATTTAGAAGGACCATATGTCTACATAATAAAGGCTATATGTTTAAACTGATAGGCAACACTGGACTAAGAAGGAAAAAATAAAGTTATTTCCTGTAAAGTCAAGGATCAGAAGTGGAACTGTGCCTGAAAGTAGTAGCCTTGAGGAATAGAGGCCTTGAGCTCAAGCCCCCAAACCACCACCACCAACAAAACAACAACAACAACAACCAGGAAAGAGGAAAAATCAATTGTTTTTCTATTTACTAATAACAATAAGGGTCAGAAAGAAAAGAGTTGCACTTGCAATAGCCTCACAAATTAAACACCTGCAAGTAAAGCCAAATAAAAATAAAACATTTTAAGAAAGAAGCCATGATTTTTTTCATAGATGACCCAAATCAGTTTTATTTGTGGTGCTGGTCCTGGGACTTGATCTCAGGGCCTGACTGCCGTCCCTGGCTGCTTATGCTTGGGTGGTACTATTTTTTTTTAAAAGAAGCCAATAAAGATAAAAAGAAAATGGATCTCCCATGTTCATGAATCAGGAGAATAAATAATGTGGTGAACTACTGTTCCAAAATTCCAATATCATTTTATACAAATAGAAAATAATCAATCCTGAGGTTCATTAGATTACACAAGATTGCACAAGATCTTAACTAGCCAAAGCAATCCAGAACTAACAGGACACTGCTAGAGATGTCATACTTCCCAACATCAAAATACACTATTGAGACACAGTAACAAAAAACACATCATACCAACACAAACAGTAGACAGCTAGATGACAGAAGAGAAGAGAAGACACAGGAAAAAAAACACACAACTTCTGGCCATCTGATCTTAAACAAAGGGGAAAAACTTACATTCAAAAAGGATAGCCTCTTTAACAAATAGTTGGAGAAACACAATATATAAATAAATATCAGCAATTCAAAGTACATTACTATCTCTCATTCCCTACAAAAATCAATTCAATACAAAATGGATCAAGATACTAATTATGGCATGAAACTGTGAAAATGATTGAGGAAAGCACAGGCAAAGAACCAAAGATGTTTTCATAGGTGATAGCTTTCTGAATAACACTCTAATTGCTCAGCAAGTAGAATCAAGAATTGAGACAAGGGACTAGGAAGGTGGCTCAGTGTTAGAGTGCTTGCCTTGCATACCTGAGGCCCTGGTTCGATTCCTCAGCACCACATAAGCAAAAAGAAAAAAGCCGGAAGTGGTGCTGTGGCTCAAGTGGTAGAGCGCTAGCCTTGAGCCGAAGAGCTGAGGGACAGTGCCTAGACCCAGAGTTCAGGCCAAAGACCCGACCCCCCCCCCAAAAAAAGAATTGAGACAAGACTTCTGAATTGTGAAAGAAATGATTACCAGGTGACCAGAGAGACAACAGAATGGAAAAAAAATGCATTTAAACTGTTAATCAGATAAAGGATTAATATACAGTGCATACGAAGATCTCAAAGAATTAAACAGCAAAAAACAATCCAGTTAATCATTCACTCATAAATAATCATTAATTAACCAGCAAATATTGGAAGCGTTAATGAGAAGGAGATGGGGATGTTTATGGCTGAAATACTTTATGTGTATATAATGAAAAAAAATGGTGAAAGGTGGTAAAATTGTTTCAAAAAGGAGAGAGGGAAGATAAGAAAGAATGAAACAGCTGGCTGTAGCTCAGTGGCAAAGCGCTTGCCTAGCAAGTGCAACATCCTGGGTCCGATCCCCAGTACTAAAAAAAAAAAAGAAAAGACAAAAGGAAGGAATAAAACAGGGTAAATGAGATTAAGGTAGATTGTGGATATATCACATAATGTAAGAATTATCACAATAGTAACTCCTTTTTACAAAAAACATGAATAAAAAAGGGAACAGTATGACTTCATTAAAGGACATGGCACATTGCTAGACATAAAAATTAACTGAGGGGCTGTGAAGGTGGCTCAGTGGTAGAGCGCTTGCCTTGCATGCATGAGGGAGGCCCTGGTTCGATTCCTAAGCAGCACATAAGCAAAAAAAAAAAATCCAGAAGTGGTGCTGTGGCTCAAGTGGTAGAGCACCAGCCTTGAGCTGAATTGCTGAGAGACGGAATGTAGGCCCAGAATTCAGGCCCCACGACTGCAACCCAAAAAAAAAATGAAAAAAATAAAATAAAAATTAATGAAAGCTGACTCTCCGTGCTCATGCCTGTAATCCTAGCTGCTTAGGAGGCTAAAATCTGAAGATCACAGTTTGAAACCAGCTCAGGCAGGAGTTTATAAGAGTCTAATCTCCAATCAACCAAAGAAAGACAGTACTGGAGCTGTGGCTCAAGTAGTAGAGGACTGGCCTTCAGAGAAAAGCTCAGGGACAGTACCCACACCCTGAGTTCAAGCCCTAGGACTAGAAGAAAAGTTTAACTGTGGGTTGTAAGTTGAGTATACATCCTGTATTATATTGAGAGAGATACACCATCTAAATCATTCATTTAGTGTTGTAGGTATCCCGATTTTAAGAATAATGAAACTAAGGGTTGTAAATCATTAGCAGTAAGTGTGACAATTGACAACTTGCTGCCAGAGCCTATGTGTTTAATAACTTTATTGTGTTGCTTCCAAAATGAAATGAAGACAATAAAAAAATTTACTTTATGAAGGCATGATGTCAGATACCTGAAATCCAAGAAGTTGTGAGAGCAAGTCAGGACAGTCTCCTCCTTGTCTACATAGGAAGATCAAGGCTTTAAAAAAA